ATAAAAGTTAAGGGTCAACAATAATTCCATCTTTGGTTAATGGCAAAAAAGCAAAAAGGAATTCTATCTTAGGCATATTACAAATTTTGTTATATTTCCACCCAGCACCTTGTTACTGTTAGGTTTTGTAACTAGAATTTCAAAATACTCATGATTATCTTTCCTTCAATCAAATTGATCACCAAGAATTGTTGCCATCTTCTTGCCCTTCCATCAAAGGCTTTGTAAATTGCCTAGACAACAAGTCCAACTTCTCTTTATCTTTTTAGCTTACCGTCCCCCTTTTTGATACACCCCATCCCCCAATTTTAAACACCCCATCGCCAATAACTACCCCCTCGGATACGTCCCCAGACTTACTTGTTCGTGGATTTATGGTCATACATTTACACATCAGCTGCAAGCTGCCAGGAACCTACAATCACTGCCTAAAGTCTTAGAACACTAACGTAGGTTTTCAAAGGCAAATTCAGCCATCCCCCTCTCCCCCTAGGAACAATGTTGATTTACTATAGAAAAAAGAAAGGGGTTATGGAGTACGCTTTTTCTTGTGGATTGTTTGATATTTTTCTATACTTTCAACATTGTTTTTGGGGGAAAGGGGGGCGGAAGTGGTAGTATTCAAGAAAACAAATGAAAATTAGAAAAGCACAGCGCAAATTGTTAGTTGTTCCAAGTAATTTTTGCAGTGATTGTACCTGCTCATCAATATTTAGCACTAAACCCCCCGGATGCTAAACTTGTCACTACCCCCAGAATTGTTGAAGTTGCATAGCAACAAGAACAACATTCACTAGATTATTGCAATCTGGACAGAAATTCCAGTTAAGTCATGAGCCAGAAAATACAATAACATTCCAGACGAGATTAGACAATAATAATGGCCGAAAACTGTGCGCAATTCCGCTTCCGCATAGGGTTGTAAAAATTTAAGACCAAACCATGTCATAAACTTCAAACAGAATCTAACACAGTAAAATTTCCCATCAACTCAAACCTTCCACAAATCACAGGCGCTCTCGTGGACGATAAAATTTCATACCTTGTAAGATACACTTCCACTGAATCGTACGTGCATGACGGCAAGCTTCCTTCAACGCTGAAGGAAACCCATTTAATTTCAAGGTAGTATCCGGTTGAATACTGAGGATTTATGTAGAAAGTGCAGTCCTCGTTATTTGAGTAATATAAGTGCGACAATGTCTTTGAGTAAGTATATGCTGTCTCAGTACCACCACTGCAGTAGCCATCGACGCTTTTAAAAAACAGGAAAGTAAAGAGAGGCAGCAAAATAAGGCCCATGATTTGGTACTTCGAGAATACGCAGCTCTTGCGTTGTTAAAAACAGGCTTTGACTTGAGACTGCCAAGCGGCTTTAACTTGACTGATTGCTATTGGTGGTGGTAGACAATGGAGATTCCCCGGATCGAAATCGTTTGATTTTCCGCACTTCCTATAAAAAGTTTCTAAATATTCAAAATTAAAAGACCAGTTACACGAGATTTTATCACTACTAGACTTTGATAGATATTTTGATTTTACCAGTGCAGATATCTTTTCTTATAACTGTAAAATTTCTTATGTTAAATTGTAATTCTTAGTATTTCGAAATACTCAATAAATTTCAAAAAATTTGACTACCGGTTTAGCATGATTATTTTCTCCTTTAAGAGGAATATTTCAGCGTAAAGATATAAGTTTGTAAAACTTCAATTATCTATGCCATTTTTATTTGGGTGTTGCAGTACTTTTGTCCTGGTAGTGTATTTCCATCTCGTCTTACGTTCTATTTAGTGGCTGAACATGTGACACGCGATAAAGTCTCATTCAAGTTATAAAACCAAACTGGGGGATAACTTTTTCTTTCTTTGGTCTGAATTTGAAAACAAATGGCTCAACGAAAGTCTGATTTGACATTGACGAATGATAAATGTAGAAGGAGAGAGGACAGATGATAATTCCCGGTTTTTCTCCGTTGTGCGCTTTTCTGCATGCCTAAATTTGAGTCATCCAATAAGAGGCGATGGCCTAAGTTTTTCACGAAGAAAAGTCGTCTGTAGTAATGTTGCTCTTGTAGAAAGATAGAATAGCCGATAAGACTGGCTTTCTACAAGCATGTAGACCATACAACAAATAATGTGCTTGTAGTTCATTTTTTAGGAAGTGCTAAAAAGTTGATACAAATATGAAAAGAAAGAGATTTTAACGCCAACAACCAGGGCCGGTTCCAGGAAATTTTCTTGGGGGGGTGTAAGCTCTTATGTACCGAGTAATTTTAGAAAAAACAATACCAAAAATTTTGAGCTCAACTAATCGTGATCAGAACTAACAACTAAATGACTTACACTAACTTTAATTTAAGAAATTTAATTTTAACGAAAGAACTTTAATTTTAACTTCAATCTGAAAAAAGCGTTTCAACCAAATACAGCACGTTCTAATAAAAATACAGAGTCAATAGTGGGTCAAAAAATAACCCTCAGATTTTTGCGAGTCATTTAATTAGGAGCTTTTGACCCAGCCTCTTTTTCAGTTCTTATAGCGCAATATATGAATAAATTAACTTTAAGTAGTGTCAAATCGAACTTTTCTGTTTTTTAAATGTATCCAGTTCTTGACAACATCTTCCAAGTTGACATTTTCAGAGAAATCCTTCTCGCATGATATCAGCATCAGAGATTCCAGGCGGTCCTGGAGCATTGTGCTCCGCAGCTTAGTCTTCACCAACTTTAGTTTGCTAAAAGATCTTTCATTTGAAGCCACAGTAATTGGTGCTGTTTGAAGGAATGTATATGCTGTGTTGCTTGCCGGATAAATGTGCCTTCGACTATATACGAACTTTGCAATTTCACGGACTGTCATGCTCTTCACCAACTTTTTCTCTTGGAAGTCCTCTCTCAAAACAGTAAGCTCTGCAAAAAGACTGCCACTTGAAACTTTCCCCGACAACAAATGCTCCAGATCCTCTGCTTGTTCTTCCCTTAAGTTATCCCAAGGAGGCAACAAAACACTGAACGGCTTTATTTTCTTCAAAATGCTACCCCAGTTTTCTTTACAATCTGTAATTATCTGATCAAGTACAGAATAAATCTCTTTCGAATAAAACGTCTGGAAGGAGAATGCCTCCTCGTTGTCTCGGTTTTCATCAATTCTTCTTGGAATCAATCTTCTTCTGTGGCGGTGCTGAAACTCCTCTTCTGGATTTATTCCCATGTGCATTGCAATTTGTGTGGCAGCTTCAATCTGCTTTTGCACGTCATCTTCATTTCGAATCTTTTCTAACGCCCTAGTTGTCGATGACACTAGCTCAAGTGCGTCGAGTAAATTCAAACCCTCTTCCTGAAGTTGCACAACCAGAACCTTACAGCGCCGCATTATGAATCTCATAGTAGCCAAGCTGAAAACAAAATCAAATGTTTTCATTTTCTTCAAAATTGCTTTGGCTTGATCCTGTGTGTTTTTGTCACAGTCAAGTTGTCTATCCATTATCTGCTCGAGCAGCGAGACGATTACTGTCAAAGAGATCCAGACACTGTCAATAGATTCAGATCTAGCAATCCAACGAGTTTGCGAAAGATTTCGCATCTTCAAGGCCCCTTCTATTTCAACTTGTGCTTTTTCAAGTGCTTCAGATCGCTTGGTGCTACTAGAAAAGAATGTGTACAATGACTGTAATATGTCAAACATCGATGATACAAGACTGCTTGCTTTGGAGCTTCGTTCTACATATGTACTCAGCCTGTGAGCCTGGCATGGGATGTAAAGGATTTCCTTTTTGTGTGGAAAATCTTCTTGAATTTTATCACTTAGCACTCGTTGGCATCCTTTATACTTTCCAGACATACATGACGCAAAATCGTACGATTGAAAGACGAGTTTTTGTGGGTCCACACTACACTCATTGAGAGCTTTCAAAATTTCTGCAGCATGGCCTTCTCCGGACTTGTCTTTGAGAATCCTCAGACACAGTAAACGCTCAACCGGCTTGGCATTGACGACGTATCTTACAACAATTGCCATCTGATCTTTATTGCTTGTGTCCGGGGTAGTATCAGCCATTACTGAGAACGCTGAGACTTCCTCTAGCTCCTTCACCATACGATGCCTCACTGCGTCACCTAGCAACTTTATCAACTCATTTTGGGTGTCTTTGCTCATATAGGTAACATGGTATGGTCGCATCCTTGTTTGGTTCTGCCAGTATTTCAAAATGCCGCAATGTCGACTGATTAACTTCACAATCTCATGAAAGTTGCTGGATTCGTCAGTATTTCCACAATATGCAAGGTCCTGCATAGCCATGGTGCGAGCAGCATCACATAATATTAACATAATTTTGGTGTTAAACATTGCGTCGTCAGTTTCTTTAATCATTTCATGACGACGAGACAAATCCAAAAGTGCATCAACGTTCTGATGTGGGTTAGTGAATCTTGCAAAATCTCGTAATGCTTCTCTGTGACTTTGGCTGGTGAAATGCTGTATCAGCTTGCCCTTCTTTCCTTTTCCAACACTCTTCATTTTGTGCCACTGTCTAACGCCATTAATAGTCCATGAAGCATCTGAAGAGGGTCTTCCAGCGCCGTTTGGAAATAAGGAACAAACATAGCAAAATGCTGCGTCATTTTGAACGCTATATTCAAGATGTGGAAAATCTTTGAACCAGGTGCTTGAAAACTTATTTTGTTTACCAGATTCAATGAATGCATTACTTGGATAAACTGTCAAGCGAGGCTGGTAGGGACCTAGGTTTATCACAAAACGGCGTTGGCTATCCGACAAATCTTTTTTTCTTTTTCCAGGGTCGTGTTCTATTAGTGCTGCTGCTTCTCCAGGTTGTACAGATCCTTTTTGCCTGTCAATTTTGACTTTAAGTCGTTCAGCAGATTTTTCTAAATCATTACACTGGGTTTTAATCTCGTTGGCAAACTCTTTTGCAGATATCGCAAACTCTTCGATATTTGGGGTACATGGTTGTGTTAGAATGTTTAACGTCAAATTACCTCTTTGCTCCAAAGTGGATAGCAGATGCTTGAGCTTTCCCGCACAGCTAATCCAATAATCATCATTTTCATCATCGGTGTCATCGTTTTCGGAGTTTTCAGCCTCACTCTCGCTCTCCTCATCAACCACATTCTCACCAACAACATTACTAATATTAGATACTGATTCTTCTTTTGCAGAATTCGCTAACCCAATCTCTTCGGTTTTGTCATCCAATATCTTCTCAGATGAAGATGAAGAAGATGAATCTTTTTCTTCAATTGGATTATCTTTCTTGCGTTTAGCTGCTTCGAAAGGGTTTTTAACTGCACCTGCGGTTTCATATGGCACATTTTTGCCTTCATGTTTCTCTCTATTGTGTTGGAGGCGATAGTCACTGTTGAACTGGGAATTACACCCTTTTGCCTTGCATCTTATTTTTACTTGTCTTCTTTTCATAGCAGTGAAACATAGCCTGGTAAAAATAATTGTTCTCAGTTTTACTTCAGATGAAGAGACCCCCTTGAAAAAATTCTCAAAAGCTCAAACTCAGGCCTTGTCAAATCTTGGAAAATCTTGCTTTTCAAACAGGCCTAGACTTTTTGTCACAGGCTTACGTGAGAATTACAAAATTCAAAACAAATGATTATATGGATATGTCTTCAGAAAATAAAATTCAAAAAACAGAAAGATCATTATTTGAAGCAAGTTTTTGAGTTACCTGAAAAGCTGCCGTTTCCCTTTCAAGTAGCGTAATACTTATTACTGTTACTATTTTTTTCAATTCTACTTTTGTTCGTCAGCTCAGCTTCATTCAGATAAAGGATTACCAGAGAATGTTGCTTCGCGGGTTTCGCGCCTTCTTCACAGGTGGCGTCAGTCACTATGTTTAGTTTTATTGAATAAATCGATCAGTGGAATTCGAACAATAGGGAACAATAGAGTAAGCAGGAAACACAAATGGTTTCTCAGGTTCTCACCGAATGAGACCACACCAGCAAATATCACATGGTCTTTGTAGGCACAGGGCAATAATGAAGAAAACTAGATATTCAAAATGTTATGCATATTTAATTGCTTTTTGCGCAGTGATGCACTACACAGCATTTAATATAAAACTTCGTAACATAATTTTACCGACCAAAAATCGAACTTTACCGAGTAAATCGCCAAACTCAATTCTTGGGGGGGTGTCACACCCCCCCACACCCCCCCATGGAACCGGCCCTGCCAACAACAAGAACAGCAAGTCAAACCAATGGTAACAAAAAAGGCTACTGGATAGACAAAGGAAACAGCGATAAGACTCAGCGAAAAATGAAAATATTACAATCATAGAGGATTCAATTGCGATGAATGTCCTGTAAGAATGCTATCTCGGAAAGAGGAATATCCTAAAGATACGTAAACACCCCGGGGTAACAAACACAGATATGAGAGATTGCATCAAGCCAGTACCACGAAGAAAAACTGATTGTATTTTACTCCTTGCTGGCACTAATGATATTGGAAAAGATGAAATAGACACGATCAAAAATACGAGAGAATAATCACAGAAGTTGCAAAAGTGTGCCCGGATACAGAATCGGTTATATCACTGACGACTACACACAATTAGAAATAGTTCATTGATGCATATCTTTATAGTCAACTAAATTTTGTGTCTGCAGACGTATTTGGTATTTATCATAAAGTGGTTATTTATCAGTAAACTTTATTGTTTATACATAAACTGTAACTACTTTGTCTTCAAAACGGTGATATAAATCGTGTTAACTAAAAGCAAAGTGTGAAAGTGTGAAAGTAAAAGCTAGGGCATACGTGTGAATGTTGTTGTTCTAGCCACCTAGCTTTAAACATTGAAATCCAGTTTTGTTTATGAGCAAATAAAGATTTAAGAAACAGTTAGATATCCAAGGGATCAATGGCGGCGCCAGCCACTAAGCTCTGGGGGGGGGGGGGACAGACAAAAAAAATTAAAGCCACGCCCTTTTAACCACCAGAAGACGCCCTTTCATCAACAGGAAACGCCAATTTTATTTGAAGGGAACGCCTATGACTAACTTTTGTTTGAAAATTGGCAGTTTGAAAATCATAGGATTACATCACAAAAAGTACGGTGTCTAAATATTACCCCTCCCCCAACATTTTCTCATCGAATTTAGTCGAAATACAAAATCGATTCCCCCCCCCCCCCCGTGGCGCCGCTACTGCAAGGGATTCATTCTGGATCATAGCATATTGGAAGGCTAGTCCAGGAAATTGATGGGCAGCAAAAAATGAAATCTTATCGGAATCATCCAGAACTTATCTATTTCTATCAATTACAAGCCCTGAAGTATAATCATCAGAATTTCATGAATCGTATATACTTATTTTCACCCAAACATTGGATTGAAATTCAGTCACATACATTGAAATAACGCAATAAAAGAAATTTCAAATAATTATTATAGTCAATATTTCAACTGTACTTGTGGAGACATTGTCAACAAAGATGGGAATTCTGCAGCGAAAAGTTGGAGGATGTTTTTACTCCAGTTCAAATTTTGAAAATAAATATAACTCCTTTTTAATCATTCTATGCGAGCTTACCCAAAAACAGTTTTTAGTACCGTATAAGCTCTATTAAGCCCCCGGGTCTTAGAGGGGGGCTTAAAAGAGAGGGGGCTTATAATTGAGAGGGGACTTATTAAAAATTTCAAGCCAAAAAAGGTTTAAAAATACTTTGGCCATTTTTTGTTATGTAAATATCATACAAATGTTTTCAAAAAACTTTGCTAGCAGCTTCGAAAGTTTAATCAACCAATTATAAGGTCCTTAACTTCATCAACATCACCAGGATAAATTGATAACCCTTGGGCATCTTTGAAACAAATTTCAACTGACTACTAAGGCGCACAAGTTAGTCTTTACAGAGGCCGTATTTAACGCACACGATCTTATCATCATCACATCCGTCAAGAGACCCACTACGCATGGGCATGTTTTCTATGTTTGACATTAAAGGCTACAAGAGGGGGCATATTTAAACTTTTGCCTGATAAAGGGGCTTAATGGAGAGGGGGGCTTAATAGTGCTTTTACGGCATGTGTCTTTATAGACCGTTTACCGCCCCCGCCATTTCTTGCCTTGATCACAGCTGTGCCTTGATGGTAGGAAAGAGGTTGGAAGAGAAAGTGTTTCGATCTTTTAAGTATCTTCGATGGATCGAATTTGATTGACAAGCGGATGTAGGTAATCAAGGGGAGTCCGCGGTATGCTATCTGCGCAACCCGTTAAATGTTTGTGTTTCCATGGTATCTATGGTATCATAAACTGGTTTACGCCTTCTTCGAGCCTGCATCTTTTAAAAGTAAATATATGTCAGTAAAATGTGGTGTTTTTTAATAAAGAAAGAGGGCTTGACTAGATTTTCACAACATCTTCTTATAATCGCTTATAAATTCACGTTTCCTTCGCATATCAGTGCCGTCGGACGAAATTCATGACATGGCTGCCCATTGTTTTTCCCATTCAGTACACTTTTATAAAGAAAATATAATACAGTTTGACAGTTTTT